GTGTGGCGATTGTTTGATTTTTCTGAATTTCTAGATCGTCGATTAGAGATCCCAAATTTTGGTTTAAGAAACAATTTTCTGAAATTATTTGCAATCAATCGGATCCTGACTTGTTTTAATTTGGTTGTTACAGTTGCAAAATGTACCCGGACTTGGGATTTTCCGGCGAGACGACAACAACTGAGACATTTCTGTTCGGAGTTGCACCGGCGATGAAGAATCAGTACGAGGCTTCCGGCGAGAGTATCATCGCTGAGAACGATGCTTGCAAGTGTGGATCTGACTGCAAGTGTGACCCTTGCACCTGTAAATGAATAATCTAAAATCACAAGAAGCAGAGGCAATCGAGTCTTTTAATTAAGTAAAAATAATATATAACCTTAATGATGATGGTTTAGGTTTGGTTTTATGTGTAATAATGGCTGCAGCCTTTGTGTTTTTTAGGAGCCGATAATGGTTCTTTTGTGTGTGCTTTTGGTTGGTATTTTAGATGTCTCTGCCATGTGACCATCATTAGTTTGATGTGTTTGTACTTCACTTGAATGATTAATATATAATTATATAGTTTATTTTCTCTGTTTTTTCGCTTTTTCCATTATTTCAAAATTTTGAAGGATTGTCCCCAATTGAAATCAAAATCATCCAATAACTGAAGTCGAATTCTAATACTATGGCCTAACCACAATAGTTTTGATGTTACTTAGAAGTTGAATATACTTTTATGATAACCGGAAGAATCATAATCAATTGGTGGTACGTTTTAATTACGGAAACTAAACATCACATAGAAACACGACGTCGTTTTTTAGTTTGGCGCGCCTATAGGCATATTTTCCCAATCTAAAATTTGTATAAAAGTCGAATTTTGTAATTAGGAAAGTAGTCGACTCCCGATTAGGTCAAAGCTTCTTGATAGGGTAAATATCGTCACTTGTCTTTCTAAATTCATTAAGCCACATCGAGAATCGAGGTAATTAGGGTTTTACAGTTCACAATTGAAAAAGCTTCTTTTGTTTTGTTGTCGTAATCTCTGATTACACTTGTTGATAATTAGGGTTTATGTGTTGAATCAGGATAGAAAATATGGATTGTGGGTTAATTAACGAGAATCCAATTGTTTACCGGAAGAGAGATCGACCTGTTCGTACTGATCTGAGCAATACCGATGATGAGTTTTCAGTAGAACCAATAGACAAGCTCGAGATTTACAATATCCTTTAATTTTATATGCCTTACAACTCTGTTGGATTATTGAATTTATATGATGTTTTTTTTTTTTTTTCTCCTTAACAATTCACAAATCATATAAAAGATATCAAAGATCCAGAGCATCAAAACTCTTCTTTGGAAAATCTCCGTGTACTTACAGAAGAATCAGTCGAAGTTGATGATGAGAAGAGTTATGTTAGGTAAGAAAAACTGGTGAGATATTAACCCTTTTTTTTTTTTCTTGTTTACTTTAGTCCAATCTGCTAAATTTGTGTTTTTTTTTTTGTTTACAGAATTACATTCAGACCAACTCTTCCACATTGTCACATGCCAACTCTGATTGGTCTTTGCATCTACTCAAAACTTCTACAAAGCCTTCCTGCTCGATTCAAGGTACAGTCATTGTAATTTGTTTCTTAAAGAGTCATTAGAAGAATCTTTAGGCTAATTGGAGAGTAACTAATTTCTCTTAATAATTTCCTGCATGTTTTTTGTTCAGGTTGATGTAAGAGTAGAACCAGGGAGTCATGACCAAGAGACTGCAGGTACAAGATTTCAGACTTGTTGTTAGAACAGTTTTGTTTGCAATCGAAATTACTAGTTTCGGTTTGGTTCTTTAACTCTGTGTCTTTTAAAATGCAGTCAATAAACAACTAGGCGATAAAGAGCGTATGGCGGCAGGACTTGAGAATCCCAACTTGGTTGATCTGATCAATTCCATCTAATTTCGTGTTATATCGTTTAGGGTTTATACACCTTTGTGTTGTCTTTAGTTTCTTGTTCCACTCTCTTACATGATAATTATTTCAGAATACTATCCTTGGAATCTCTACTTTGATGTTTTTCATCTTCATTCTCAATAATTTTAATCACGACTTGTTATTTGCTGAATGATGATTAGTGATTTAGTATGGTATGTCGATTACAAGTTTGGTAATTTAATCTCTCCCTGTATTCTATTGCCAGTATTTCTAATTTTCTACTGTTGTTGTGGCCAAATAAGCTGGCAAGTTTATGTTTTCCTTCCTCTAATTAGAACTTGTTACATAAACTGGTAGCATCAGTAGATACACGAGTAGAACTAAACAGCTAATGTGAACAAAAAGAAGTCATAACTTCGAAAATATCTTTGAATCTTTGTTAGATCATCAAACCAAGAAAACAAAAAAACGAGAGAGAGAAGGCAATGGCTTTGTAACGTATATCTTTGATTTTTTGTTTAGACCATTAAGCCAAATAAAGAAAGCTTAAACAAATGCTACTAATCAA